TTCAAATTTTTAAATAATAATGTATATATAACATAAATTTAATCAACAGTTGATTTTTTATATTACTAAAAGTTAACTCTTATAGCAATGAATCGTAATTATCTCAATGTACTGTATATAATATTAATTATATTTTTTTGAGCAAGCGATAGGCTCAATGTATAAAAATATGTAATAAGAGTTAAAAATATAATTTCAATGAATTCAAATTTTAATGCTATAAGCAAAAAAGAATTTTTCTATTATTCACTTAAGTCTATTCTACAATGTGTTTTTTGTTTCTGGTTTTTTGCTATTTTTTTATATCTTGTCTTTTTGTTTCTTATCTGGTTTTTTGTTTTCTGTCGCTCGGGATAAAAGTTAATGAACTTTAGAAGAAACAAGAAATAGTAACAAGAAACATAATTATTGTTAAAACAGTCGCAAAAGGAAAAAAAGACAAGATAAAAAGCAAGAAATAGAAAACAAATCACAAAAAGCACATCATAGAATAGGCTTTTAACACAGAAATCTTTCGTTCTTATGGCATCAAAATCTAAGCTCAGTAAATTTATATCGATTTCAGTCATTGATTTGTAAATATATATTAATTACAAGAAAACTACAAATATAATATGATTCAACTCTGTATACTCTTACAATAATAAGAATACAAGATTTGTATCAAATATAGATGATAATGTGAAATTATTTTATAATTGTACGAGTTCTCATATGATCTCTTTTCCATTATCAATATAGCCACGACACAGCCTCTTTAAGCATAAATCCGAAGACGTCGGATGCACGACGACGTCTTTCGGCGCAGCGGTTTTTCGCGGGAAAAGGGGATGAAAATTTTCACATCGCTAGTTTTACAGTCGTTACAATATAGATACACTTATGTACAAGTGGCACCGCTACTTACGGGGCTCGGACTATACGTACTTGCTGGACAATTGCTTTGCCAGCTCCGTATACTTGAGAAATTTGGAGTGCGGGCTCTCCTCGAGGGGTGAGGCCGCTGACTGCGACGGGCTGCCGTTTGCCTGTGGAATCGGCGGCGACTTGTTGCGCTGCGACGTTGGTGGCGACGAGGAGTTACGGCTCGGCCCACTGGAAGAGCCCTGGGAAACTGCCGCGGCGGCCGCGGCCGCGGCCGCTGCCGCTGATCTGCCGATGGTCAATGGATCCGGGATGACGCCATCTTTGACAAAGTGCATCTTGGACAGGTGATGCCTGTACGCACCTTTCGAAATAAAGGGCGTATCGCAAAATGCACACTTCATTATTGAATCCGCTGTGACCACAGCATCGTTGCATGCCCAGCTGAAAGCCAAGATTGCACCTGGGGTTGGACCAGGACCTGGACCAGACACCCCTACCGTACTACCGCTGCCCGAACCGATGGTATTAGCTGCAGAACTACCTCCGGATCTAGAGGTGCCGCTAGCACCGGGACCTCGCGTTTCTGTCTTATCGCATAATTTTTGCAATGCCGCGAGAGGATGGCTGCTTGTTTTACGTCCTTGCGAGTCGACGTTATTGCCGCTGCCACTACCACCACCGCCGGACAAGTTGTCGAACATGGAGGAAAGCGCTCCGAGACTGCTGGATGCCTTAGTGTCAGGTGTACCTCGTGGCGTGACCGACCGATCGCTGCTAGTGGGACTACTCGTGCTGTTTCTACAAGGACTACGCGCGACCTGTTCCACTTGGCTAGTTGGTCGAGGCGTAGGTGGATTCATACGAGGTGATAGAACCTCTCGTCCATCTTCCGGTGTCTCATGAAGGCTACTTCTTCGGTGATTGTAGGAACTCTGATCCTCCTCGTCCCTGCAGTCATCTACTATCTCCTTCTTCACGAACACTTCCCTCGTCGATTGCGACTGTTGTTGCTCCTCCTCGTTTGCGCTTCGTTCTTCTGTTTCCTCGTCCCTCGGTTCTTTCTTTACTACCACAGTAGATGACTCTTCGTCTCCGGATTCTTCCGCGGTTTGATGATGGCGACTAGGTAACGAAGCGGCCTGCTTCTCGGGAGTGACGCGATGATGATGAGGCAAAGAACTCGAATGTCTTTCGTGACTCGTGTTAGTCAGGTCCATGCGTCTCTCCGGTGTCATAGTATCCGTCCTACCGCTTCCTCGCTCTGATATCGAACTAGACTCGCTGCCGCTTCGCTCCCTTCTCGCCGCGGCATTGGCATTGTAATGTTGCTGTTGATGTTGCTGTTGATAAGATCGAAGCAGATTCATTGTTTGCGGATCTACCAGAGGTTTTGTGTAATCTACACTCTCGTCGATACCCAAACGCTTAAGAATGCTCGTACCCATTGGCGCACCAGGTTGAGCGTGATGCAAGCCGGGCGTACCGTGCCTCACGCGAGAATCGAAACTCTTCTCGATGAGCTTCTCTATTGCATTTAAAACCGACGGTGAGGTACCCATGGGAGCAGTAGTTTCATTAGCAGTTGGTGTAGGAGTATCTTTTCCTGGCGTAGTCGCGTCGCTGGCCGAAGATGGAGACCGGTGATGCCTCGACGATATCGAAGATGTTTCCTCGTTGACGCTCTTACGTCCGCTCTCGGTTGGTGGTATCGTTGCGGGCAAATGATTGGACATGAGCGCGTTCTTCAAAAAGTTCCGCTGATTAGCACCCACTGTGCCCGCACCGATGCACTGACGTATGTGCTCGACAAAAAGCGGGGTTTCTATCTTCTCACCACATTTCTCGCACGTGATTCTGCCAGCATGCTTTCCGAGACTATGAGTCAAACCCGCAGCAGCGTCGCCATTCTTGAATTCATTTTGCGCGCGTTCTAGCTCTAATAATTTTCTCACGGGCAGTGACTTTTTTCGCTTCTCGCGCGTTTGCCGCCGACGTCCACCACTTTCTGTAATCGACCGCATTATATGCTCCTTGTAATGCGAATTCTTTACCATGTGATTGCTCAATTCTTTCAAGGAGCTAAATGCTTGATCGCAAACCTTACAGGTCAGCACGGCGCTAACGTGACTGCTTGTGGCGCCTGCTCCGGGACCACCATTATTTCCGCTGTGAGGTCCAGACCCTCCACCCGGCTGTACCCCTGTGCCTCCTCCACTAGCGACACTTCCGCTACCCCCGCCAGCGCCTGTAGAATTACCGCCCTTGCTCTCATCCGATGATTTCCAAGATATTATCTGTTCTTGAGAGATGATGTTCGTATAATGTTGCGTTTGCTGCATATGCGAAGTCATCTCAGCTAGTGAACGGAAACTCTGTCCGCACCACATACATTTTAGAATCTGTCGTGTTTGTTCAGCTCCCTTACCTAACCAGACATCTTGGCCTCGCACGAGTTTCCGCGGCAGTGGCATCGTTTCTTTAATCAGTAGATTCAAATCGGATGGACTTTGTTTGCTGCTAGGTGTACCCGAAGTGTTGCTGCCAGTATTGCCGGTAGATGTCTGCGGTTGATGCGGTTGTTGAGGCGGTGGTATAGTGGGCATTGTCGTCTGCTGTGAATGAATTCCTGGTACTGGCGGTGGTACCGGCATGTTCACGCCGCAGTGCTTCGCTTCCTTCATGTGCGTCGTCATTGCGGCCAAAGTCGGGAAACTTTGTTTGCACCACACGCATTTTAGAACATCCTTCGCTTGATCGGCACCTTTATTCAACCAGTGAGATTGCCAAGCGCTGTGACGACTGCTCGATGTCGTCGCTGGCGCATTGGCACCTGCTGCTGTAGCACCACTTCCAGAAGACGACCTAAAGAGATCCTCTCCGCCCAGCTTGCTCAGCTCGCTCATTTTTTCGAGCGCCTTTGTAGCCTCACTAGGTTGATATGGCTTTTCCAACGCGGCCGGCGGCTTCATCTTCCCATTCCAAAGCTGATGATGATCCACCACTCCGCTGGTGCTTTTCGGCGAAAGCTGCTGCTGACTAGTAGCCGCTGCCGCTACCGCTGCGGCGAAGTACGGAAAGTGCGTGGCCACCACCGGCGACGTCCAGGGAGACACCACGGGGGGTCTACCGAAACCTGATGGCGCAACTCCTGGTGCTGCTTCCTGATGGCTCGTGGAACTTGTCGTGGAACCCAGTCTTGACGACTTGCGAGGTGGTGGTGGTGGCGAATCTTCCGGACCAGGTCGTTTCCTGCTGGATACCGAAAGATCCAACGGACCATTATTCGTCTCCGTCGAGGAAGACGGCGTAGGTGGTTTGCTGAGATTTAATATCTGTTCCTCCTCGTCTTCTTCAGTCGAGGATGTTTTTCTCGTGCTAAAGTCTAGCACAGCTGGCAGAGGTGTCGCTGATGGCGAAATCTCTCCAATGCTGGTAGGCGACACCAAGAGGCCGGGGGTGGCGGCTGGTGGTGAACACGAGGAGGAAACTAACGGCGACACCGAGCCACGCGATAACGGCGAGTGGCCGAGGAGAAGACGCTGATGGGTTTGTTGCAGATATGCCGCCATGACCGCTGCCGAATGGGATGGTAGCAGGGAGTGAGTTCCAAGGGGTAGAGGCACGATACTACTTGGACTGACTGGGCTCGCGCTGCTCCTGGTAGCAGGTGGTGGGGGACTTCCGGTCGTCGGACCGGATGATTCCCGAGAATCTCTCGAGGGACAGCGCGGACTCATTGGCTCCCTGAAATTGTAAACGATATCGAGCGTTATAATTTTCGAGTACGAATACATATTTCTCTCTTCGAGATCTCTCTAGGATTCGAAGTGTGGCTATGATGGATGAAACGAATCTTATCGGAGCTTGGCGTAAAAGTACGAAACGTTTGCAGTCAGGCAGTGGTCATTAATCATGATAATCGCACGATAATTTTCTTGTAACCGATCTGCGAGTATCGCAGCATAACGCAGGTGACGCCGTGACGTTAATATTTCATAAGCGTCCGCCATAGAAATTACTACGCAAACAGCTTTCGCCGTATTATATGATGAGAACGACGGATACCCGGAATCATCGGTAGAAATAAATGGAAAAAAGACTCGCGTGATAAATAGAGTCTAGAGACGTTGCAACGATGGCAACAGCGATGGATAACTCACGCATGAAAACGTCTGTCGTGCTAGTGTGTACACGCGAAATGCATACAACACACAGAAGCGTATCTTGTAAATGTAAATGCGGACATTACGACAAGATGCGACAGATTATTATCGATATGGAAAACGAAAACACACCATGCTACGCGATGCGTTATTTGTCGACCTTAAAATACGCGCGTTTACATCGCGGCTACGAATTCTCGACTCACGCACGATCACAAATACGTGAATATAACATAACGCTCGCGAAGTAACGGAGTTCCGATCATGAACAAATTACGATTAATTGTACGCTCCACCGATTAGTCATCCAGTTCGCGACAAAAACGGCGCGGATTGGTCGAAGTTGTCGAGTGTGCAGAAGCGATCGATACCTGTCGCAACGTCATCAACGCGCACGAGGATCGACTGTCGGAAGGGAGCACGTGGTCGGAACGATTAGAGAATGTTGTAATGGATTGTGCGAGCCTCGATGCGCGATGTGTGCGCAGCGCGGCAACGTTCCAGGCCTGTCGACGGCTCGCTCGTAACTGACTGTTCCTGACTGAATGCCGAATGCGTGCCGCGAGATGAAAGGGGACCGCTGCCACGCATGCAGGGGAAGTTTTTGGGGGCTGGCGGGACGGTGCGGGTGTACGGGGGAGCGGGAGCGCCACTGCCGCCCCCGGTTAGGAGGCAGCGCCTGCTAGTGGGGCATCGTCGGTATGGGACGATGTGTAACACGTGCCTATCTCTATTAGCCGTGTGACGTCGCGCGCAGCAGACACCGATATCAACTCCGACACCGGCTTATTTATCCCTATCCGGGGCCTCGCCCGCCTGCCCGCCCGCTTGTTTCATTACCACTTAACCCTCGCCGCCCGACGCTTACCTCGCGCATACATGTATTTATGAAAGAGATCTCGTGACGATTTGTTGCTCTTAAACAACAACGTGCCTCGAGTGTACACACGAGAGACTCCCGACGACGGCAAACATCAAAAAGCTCGTGGTGTCGCGTCGGCGCGACTCACGATGATTTAAACGCTTTATTATAAGGAGTCTCTACGCCCGGATAAAGCACCGACTAATGAGTGCGCCGGCAGACAACGTCAAATGAAATTTAGGTAGGAGCCTTTATACCCGCCATTACGCGTCGCTGCTATGACCGTCATAGGTGATTTGCGCCGAAGCGTCACTCGTGCGGCTATCTGCGGCTGATTTGTACAGGCTGTTGCCTCACACGGCTAACGCTTGACGTCGAGTGTTCTTTCTTCACGTACGTAACACCCACGTGTCTCCGGCACGAAGAGACACGTGGAGACACGTGGACAGAGATGCATATTACATAAAATTCAAAATTCGCGAATTAAAATAATAATTCTTGAAAAGTTAAGTAAAATTCTTGGAAAGCAAAAAATTCTTGAAAAGTTAAATAAAACATTTATTTCTAAATTTTATAGCAGTAATTTTTGAACTAATAATGTTTTAAATATGATCAATTTTTCAAGTTATATTTAAACGGCCATTTTGAATTATGCGTGTAATGCGATTGAGTTAAATGTAGTCAATTGACTATATTTAAATCTTTATATTTCAAAAATCACTGCTTAAAAGAAAGATTTATAAAATTCTTTGCTTAATTTTTTTGAAAATAATGATTTAAAAATATCGTGGATATAAATATACGGTATATCTACACGACTTATTCAAGTGTGACAAGAAAGATCAAAGAAAGTTGATATGGATATATAAATAACTACTGAAAAAGTGAATAAAAGTTGTCATTACTCGTTCAACAACTCGTTTTAGTTAACACGAGTGATGTTTCTGATCATTACTGTATATCGATAGAAACTTTTTTAAGTTCTTGGCACACATAATCAAGTCTTTCAGGTTTCAATAATTATCTCCATTAACACATTTACCGATTTATCCTATCGAGAAATGCGTATCTGTTTCTTTTTGTGATTGCTTTTTTCAGTAATTATTAAGATAGTTATACAGACAGAACATCAATTGAAGATTTTAGTACAACAGTAAACTAATATCCATATTTTGAAAAAACCATAAAAAATGAATAAAAAGCTGATAATCCATTTTCACCAATATCATATGGCTACGTTGTGGATTAATATGTGTTCTTAATCTTTGTTGTAGTAAGTCTTCAATTGTGCATGGATAGAAAATTATAGATGCAAAATTCACCTATCTGGAGGTCCCGTATCTCGCAAGATAGTCGGGTTTAACCTCGAGGTGGCAGAAGGTGGAGGTGTAGGTGGCGATGCCTCCTCATCGTCCTCTTCGTCCGTTCCCTCAGCATCTTCGTCCTCCTTCGCAGCGGGCGCGCAGCCCCTCTCGCTGGGGCTAATAGGGCCATCCTCGTCGACGCAATCGCCCTCCTCGCCTTGGAGGTCCGTACCGGGCGCAGAGCCTTCGACGCCGTCCTCCCCTGAAACAAATAAGTAAAATAGCGGATTAATAGATTAGATCAATCATAATTTAATAAGAAATGGCTACTCCATTAACATGCCACATCTTATAAAATAACGACGTGTTGTTACATTTCTATTAAATACCTGTATAACGAATATTCATTGATGCCTTTTGCTACTTATATAACGGAATATAAGTAGTCGCTTTAGCAATCTAGATATCTCATTGCCCATCGGCAAATTTTCTATTACACTTGCAGATAAGATGTTGAGTTTGAAAAATACGATACACAACTGTATCGTTACTAGGAGGAAAATATTCCTCCCTGTCAGTATAACCTTGCGTGACAAGCAAGCAAACTTGTATTGCAGGATATACTTATGTATTGCCAAGCAATTTAGAAATCAAAAAATCGAATACAAATACATATCAGTTGACGACATCATGTATCGTCTTTTCTGCGTGGAGATCGTTGATGTAGGACGCGAATCAAATCCTTCTGTCACCCACCGTATCTTGATAGAAGAGCAGAGAAGAACGTACAACCTAAGAGTGGAGATACTGAGAAATGACGAAGCTAAGTACCTAGGAGTGATATAAAGGTTTAGATGGCGAGTAACACAATGGCACTATCGGTTCATTTATCAGCCTTTCGCGACGACAGCAACGACGACGACGACGACGACGACGACGACGACGACGACGACGACGACGACGACGACGACGACGACGACGACGACGACGACGACGACGACGACGACGATGACGACGAATACGACGCCCAAGAGGGAGACGAAGAAAGAGAAAATGCGAGCTATGTCGGATACGTCGACGTCGTCGACGATGAGGTATTGTGTGGCGGGACAAGGAGTTCCATCATCTGCATTATGAGTTTTAATCAAATCGTTTCCATTTGAACCCTTGATAATGAACGGCGGAACTGTCGCTTTGCGACTGTGCAAAGAACATAACCTGATCTAAGATCAATAAACATTTATGGAAGGAAATTACGTTGCATAAATTTTATCCAGAAATTCCACATTGTGTCATATCTGATAATTCTAACCGTGTATTCATGATTCAAATATTAACCATGCTTATATTAAAATATCTCATTATTGTACGGTTATTTAACGAAAGTAAGCACTTGATAGACCTGGATGTGAATACTCAGAGCCAACGGAATCTCCCTAGTCGCCATCTTGCTCCCGGCATATCCTCTCTGAAGAAGGGAGTGCCATGTCCTCGGTCGCGAGCAATCGCCAAGCCAAGCGAGAGCAGGACGAGAGCGAAAGATGGTCAGCTCACCTCCCCTTATAGAGGGTGGGGACAACCAGGAGCACCGTCCTACTTTGCCGAGTGACCAACCAAACGATCGTTTGTTCGCAGACAGGCTACGGAAGAGGGAGAGAAAGGAGATCGCACATTGATCCGCGGGTGCATCAGCAACTAATTACGCAGATTTATGTCCCCATTGTCCATTGTCTCTCTACTGGGAGCGATTCTCTGGTGCCCCGGACCATTCGATGGAAGCGACTGGTCGGCCGATCCGGTTGGGATCAGCCGTAGGATGGCGAGAAGGTGCACGACTACGGAGAGAACGACGGGGCGACGACGAGAGGAGATAAAAGGAGGACCTCTCAGAGGATCGCTCAGATTCAGGCACGTATCGAAGAGGAGAATGCAAGAAATCGAGGAACCAAGCGGGCGGACCACCGGCGAGCAGCCCCGCCCGCTACAAGCATGGTCCGTCTTCTGCCCTTCCGGAGGCCCTCTCCCCCCCCCCCCTCTTAGAGCGCTTGATCGCAAATCCGTGGAATCTATTTGCGTGCCGTTCATTTCTAATCCTTCCCACCCACTTGTACATGATAGCTGGATTTGAAGAGGTATTGTTTCAAAATTTCAATCGTGACCGTCAGTACTGCACCATCTTCATCTCCAACCAGAGACTTCAACGAGCGTTACTCTGTTTCCGGAAGCAACGAATGGCATTTTGATACTATCTTCATTCGTACACGCGTGCACAATTACACAGAAAACATCAGAAGAATCATTATTCATAAGCATTCATCAGAAAGACAAAACCTTTTATTTAATGTAATTAATTCAATATTATTTAATGTTTTTAACTTTTAAAGACGGGAAAATCACTATAATGATGTTGAAACAGTATCTATATATATATTTTAATGCAAGAAATACAATGAAATAATGAATTATAATTATAAAATTATTATATTTCATTATTTCTGTAATTTTTATCTCAAAGTGACACTGTTTCATAACAAATCATAATAAATCTTACTTAAGAAAAAGCTATAAAAATTACAAAATGAACCTCTCTCGCCCTCTAAAACTTAATTTGTTT